GGGGTGGAAAGCACTCTCATGCTACTTGAGGTCATGGATTTGGAAGAGATCGGATAGGGTAAGTACACACATGAAAGGGCGACACAGTCCTCTGGAGGCCTCTCACACTGGGAGAGAGCCGAGATGAACCGCGGCCAGGCACGCAGGCTGAGGTGAGCAGGCAGGTTGGTTTGTGTCTGGACTTCAACCCTAATTTCAACGCGTGAAGCTGGGCACGTGGCCTCTTCCTCCGTGGACAGGGAAACCGGGAGTAGGAAGGCTGTGGACCCGAACTCCCGTTCCACCACCTGGACTCAGGTAAAGTGAGGGTGCCGAAGGGACAGCCTTTTGCAAACATGTCCCACCCAGCAGATTAAGAGAGACCCGCAGCCTGCGACACAGAGGAAGAACCAGAACCCATGTTTCTTGGAGAGAGGTCAGGACTGTAGAGAAACCCAAAGCCTCATCAGTTTGAAGCAGCACTTCCTACCTCCAGAATCCCAACACCCTGTTGTGGACATTTTTCCAATATTTGAAAAGGCCCTGACGGCATGTTTTTTATTTTCACGTTAAAGGCGGTAAGGAGGCACAGACGAATGTATGTGTGTAGCCGAACCGAGCACAGCAGCCTAGCATAAAAAAGTTACAGGATATTTGTTGTTCTTCAGCTATTTATCTTGCTCTGGATGAAAATCTGAATGACTCGCTACGAATAGAGGATTAAATTAACCAGGGAGACCACAGCAGACAGGAAGACCTTAATTCCTAAGTGCGAAGATGGGCTATTCCTTAGAAAACTGGTTTGACTGGGTTGGCAGAGTCATTCAAAACATGTGAATGGTATAAGGAAATTTACTTTAGAAAGTCCTCCGGGATAAATATTCCAGGAACTACGACCTGAAAAACCTACCGCCAAGATTTCTAAAAAATTGACCAGAATTACATCTACAACACAGCTTTGATCTTCATTCTATCTCCCAAATCTCCTTTATGCTAGAGCCTTTTTATCAAAGACAAAAGTTCCCGGTATCTAAAAATAAACAGGATAATCACACTCAACTCAGTTTCTTCAGAGAGAGAGAGAGAGAGAGAGAGAGAGAGAGAGAGACAGAGACAGAGAGAGAGAGAGAGAGAGAGAGACAGGTAGTGCGTACTGTCTTCCTTCCACGATATTAAATTGCTATTTCTTCAAATGCAGATCATAGTAGAGATGAAATGAATACAGCATTTGAGGGAAAAACCCATTGAATTCAAGAGGAATTGGCTTAATCCTGGCAATTTTACCAAATTGGTCCATAGATTTCATGAGCAAGACTGGTTCGGAAATACAGAGCAATCGATGCGTTAAAAGAGTACACAACGTCTGCAAAGAGCTTTGACTAAACGAAGTCATTACGGCTTTGAAGAAAGGCGTTCTTTTGATTAGGGCATTAAGTGGCACTGTTCCTGTGTGTCTACTTAAACCCCTCCTCGTGTGGCGTTTCAGTCTGCACCTTTGTAAAGCGAGACACGCTGACATTTCCGAGTCAGCGGTCCCTTCCCAGCCCTGGAAGGGAAGGACAGCTCTCGTAGAGGGTATTGTGTTTCACTAGTGCTCTGTCACAAACTCGAGTTCCTGAAGTGTGACAAAAGGATAACGATTCTGAAAAGGGCGGCAGCTCTGACATTAAGGTGGTATCACAGTTTCCTGGCCTTTGTGGTACACCAGGTGGGGGAGGAAAACATTTCTAACAAATCCGATGCATTTCTCAAAAAAAAAAAAAAAAAATCTGTAGAATAGCAATTGCCATGCTTTTAGGGCTGTGCAGTAATAACAGAATCCATCTACCATTCAAGACCCTTGACACCCGCTTCCGGAGCTGTGCCCTTCTTTGTCTCCAGGGTCCACTGAGACTGCAAAAAAGCAACACCGTCTCTGCCCCACCCCACCTGCCTTTCCCGGACTCATCGGCTGCACTCACCTCTCCCTGCCCTGAGCCTTCGTAGCATATGGAAGTTTCCTAAGTAATGTATTACTTGCTAACCATGCCTATCACGGTGATTTATGTACGTGCCTCCTCCCAGCCGCTGAGCTATTTCGGAGTCTAACAGGCATTGGGTGAGAGAAGGAATGAGAGAGTGAGCCAGGGCGTGAAATGCAGTCCGTAACTCCAACTTTTAGAGAGGCTGCAATCTACAGAATAGAATCAAAACAGCTCTATCCACACAGGCCTCATGGAAATAAAAATCTTGTTATATAGGAATGCAAGTGGTCACGCCTCACTATTCTAAAATAAGACGGTGAATAGATGAAGAGGGACAGCCCAATGGGGCTGATCCTGTTCAGATTAAACACGCCTGTACAGTCACTTAACTTATGCAGAGTAAGACCGTGTGCCCTGCGTTGCTAACAACGACATGCCAAGGAAAGAGAGCACTTATACGCTAGGTACCAGGCAACACAAGAAGTGGCCCCGCTCCGATAAGGATGCTCAGAATATCCCGGACCCCAGAGTGCACATAAAGAGATATGAATGTAACTGTAAGGTTTCATGGACCAGCCGAAGAATAAACCGCAGTGCACTCTTTTACTTTGCCTCGGCCACTGCGATGAAGCTTTACTAGACTCCTGGGAGAGCAAAGAACTGGCCAAGCGCTGCTTCTCCTTGTGCCAAGAGCTACCACGGAGAGAGGTGGTAAAGAAGGTGGAAAGCAGTAGAAAGAGAAACATTATACGTACAGTGAATGGCTACTTCCTTCCGTGCCCTGCTATCTGTGGAAAATTTCTGAGGTCCCCTTGGTCGAGGGAAGCTCTCCTTCCTTGCGTGAACTGTTAACATCGTGTGCACTCAGACACGGACACCCTCATTAAATGGGTCCCTGTAGGCTTCCAGCCCAAACATCCTCTTGAATAACCATTAATCCACCTTCGAGTTAACTGGACACGGAAGCAGGTCTTATATTTGTTTGCCTATCTCTTGCCTAGATACTGTCTGTGAATGTCCAGTCAATATTTCTACACACACCGATGAACGGAAACACCTTAGCCATTAACGTGTGTGACTCTGGGTGTAAGCACTGAGTCACCAGGAGTCTGGGAAACGACACTGTGACAGAGACATGAGAGGGCTGACTGTACTTTCTTGCTTTGTGCTTGCAATAGGCACCTAATACTGCATCTTCCTTTTCATCTTACCTAAGTAAGTCTTTGTCAAAGGAGCCACTTGTACCACAATGAGATTCCTTTATCTTGAATTCACAGAGCACGCACTGTATAAACCAAGACCTGAGTTTCATCGTACCTTCTCCAAAGACTTTTGGGACCCCTGGAGCACCATGGAAAGGGCTCAGGCAATGACTGGAGAGGACAAAGCATTAGCTGCAGACATTACTGTGGGTTCAGTTAGGCTGTATGGGATCCTTTTTTTGGGGGGGGGGTTTTTTTGGTTTTTTTTGTTTTAAACAGGGTCTCACTATGTAGTTGAGACTGACCTGGAACTCACTGCGTAGCCCAGGCTGGTCTCGAACTCACAGCGATCCTCCTGCCTCAGCCTCCCGAGTGCCGGGATTACAGGCGTGCGCCACCATGCCCCGACTTGGAGATTCTTCAAAAACCTAAAACTAGACGTTCCATTTACACCACATATTCCCCTTCCAGGTTTCTTCCCAAGAGTTAAAAGCCTCATACCACAGTGATGTACGCATAGGCATATTTACAGCAGCACAACTTACAGTCATGAAATCTTGAAAACATCCCATATGCTCATCAGTGGATGAACGCGTTAAACAAATGTGGTTTTTATATATGATGCAGTACTACTCTGCCATAAAGAAGGATAAACACAAGGCATTTTTAGGTAAATGGATGCATCTCGAGACTATAACCTTAAGTGAAACAAATCGGACACACAAATTTAAGTATTGCATTGTTTCTTTTGTGTATAGACCCAAAGTGTCAATAAGGAGCAAGACGGATGTTGGGAAGTAGGAAGACTGACTCAAATGGGCAAGGAAACGAGGGGTCAGAGGGAAGGGAAAGGAGGGAGCGCAACGGGATTCAAAATAAGAGAGAACGGAAGAGACAGCATGGAAACCAACAGGGAGAAGAAGGATGGAAGAGTGGGGAGGGGAATGGAAAAAGAAGAATTAAGATCTCTTATGTCCAGGTAACGATTCCCCATGGTCAATGTGATCGATGTGTAGGGCAAACATATACTAATAAGAAAAAAAAACTAATGGATCCTGAGATGACGGATGATTTCTTAGCATCTTGCTTGGGGCCAATACAATCACACGGACCCAAGAGCCCATAAGAGGGAGACAGAAGGGTCGGAGAATCGGGCCGGGGATTTAGCTCAGCGGTTCGGTGGCCTGCCTCACGAGTGCAAGGACCCGAGTTCGATCCCCGGGACCAAAAACATCCCGGGAACAAAAACAAAAACAAAAAAAAAAAAAAAAAAAAAGAAGGGTCAGAGAAGGCAAAGCTGATGAGAAACTGAATGGGAAGTGGAAAGGGGAGGCGGGGGATAAGGAGGTTTACTGATACTGAATTGTAGTCTTGACAGATGCAACCAGAGACAGTGAGCCAAGACATAGGGAAAGCCTAGAGTAGGCGGCAAAGCCCGTTACAGCACAGGGCCTGGCCGCCACCTTGGTTTTACACCAACGGAGATACCCACCTAACTTCTGTGTTCCAGATCCATGAGTTAACGACCTGTGCTTCCGTAAGGCACAGTGTCTGTGTTGACTTAGCATAGATGGGATGGGAGATGCAAACACAGGCACAGATTAGGTCTCGTTCCGACCCGGTGAGTAATACGGGGTTGCCTTTGCATTCAGGATACACAGCATCATAGAACTTGGCTTTTAAAGCCTATGGAGCCATAGCAGAAAGGCTAACCTGGGTCTGGTAGGTGTGCACTGCATGCGGCACGAGGAAGTCTTATACTGCCAAGCAGTGCAGAGTGCACAAATCTCTAAAACCAAGAAAAACGCAGCCTACTATTGCTCCGTGAGCACTGGTCCACGCCGCCACGTCTCACCTTTATAGATTCCGTTGCTTCCTCCATGCATTTCTCCCTTGGTCGTCACTTCTTCTACATGGGCTCCTTGGTCCGATGTGAAGTAGACCAGGGTATCCTCGGACAGTCCCAGCTCATCCAGCACATTTAGAACTTGCCCTGGAATACAGAGACAGACTTTACTTTAGAGCAGTTTGGTCATCATGAAGCAAAGGGAGGTGACTGCCCTCCTCAAGTGGCGAGTCCATTCCTCAAGGCAATACTTGTGCTGAAATGTGATGGTATTGAGAAAGACCAGCCCCACATGATTCTTAGGAGGGTCACCAAGAGAGGGCACATCAGGGCTCTCCTCAGCTGCTCATGGTTTTGAGGTTCCAAAGGAGTAACCCCACCCTATGAGCAAATATGTCAGGACAGATTTCACCTTTCAACATTTGCAGGAGACACCCAAATCTAGAACCGCCTACCACGCATAGCAAGGTTTCTCACACCTTCTTTTTTCTGGTTCCCACCTTCTTTCCGTGGGCTTAACACTGTCCACTGCTCCAACAAAGCAGCAACTTTAAAACAACAAAAGCAACAGCAATAACAGCAAGGATACTTTGTGACATCTACTCATGACTCTCTACAGCACCAAAGGTGTATTTCGTTGTATTTTGTGTTCCCTGGTGTAGACCCCAGGGAACCCTTGGAGTCAGAGCAGTGGTTTCATTTTGCTCACGGAGAAACATTGTTGCAAAAAGAGAAGAGCCCTGTTCAAGTTCAGACACATAAGAAGCAGAAGAACCAGAGAGCAAGAGTTAAGTCTGAATCCAAAACTCAGACTCTTCAGACTGCCCAGATCAGGGGGTGGACTTAGCCAGCCACCACCCAACCCACCGAGAAAAAGATCTTAAAGAAGCAAAACATACATTCCTGAGAAACATATGGCCACACCCATGGATGGAATGCTACGACTGACCATGATCTGAAACGATGCCTCTCCAACTCAAGCGAGAAGAGGGAAAGTAGGTATGGGATGATTGCTAGATGAGTTTAGCCACTGAATTAATAACTGCTCTGTATGGACAAAGAACGCGTGATTATTGACTATAGTATTACACTTCTACCTATGCTTAAAATTTTCCATGTAAAGCCAGGTGTATGTAGCCGTGCCTGCCTACAATGCTAGCAAACCAGGGGGGAGGCAGGAAGATCTCAAGTTCAATATCAATCTAGGCACCTTAAGGAGATTCTGGCTCAAAAAAAATTTTTTTTTCTTTTTTTAATTTAATGAGAAAAACAACAGGCTGATCAGGAAGCTACTGTGGCCCTTTGAACAGAAGACAACGGTGGGCCACTTAGAGAGGAACAGTACATAATTTCCTCACAGATCCACAGAGTTACACGCTGCCTATCTGCAACGTAGTAAGACGGTCAATGCAGTTGGACTTTAATCGGCACAGCAGACTCTGGTTCCGTTATTTATTTACTTAAATTGACAAATAATAAACGCACATATCCATGACGTTCTGAAACCGGTATGAGGTTGTGGTAAAAAAAGTGAATATTTGGGGCCGGTGATTTAGCTCAGCAGTTCAGTGGCCTGCCCTGCAAGCGCAAGGACCCGAGTTCAAGCCCCGGTACCCCCCCCAAGAAAGTGAATATTTAAGTCAAAAATGGAGTAGAACAAAAGACACGCTGCCATGAACCCCCCTCAAAATCCACGCCCTCTCCTTCCTTCCTTCGAAAACACTTGCTCCCTCATTCCTGCCACTTTCTGAAGCAGTTCTGGACATCCTCTTTCACAGATGTCTTTAGTTGTACCGCCGTCCCAGCTGCCTCGATGTCCTAAGTGGGCTCAAACATTGATCTTTCATGATCGCTCTGATTTGGGAAACAGAAGTCGCAGGGTGCCAGATCTCATGGAAAAGGCCACAGTGCCATGTCTTTACTGACTTTCCATCGCGTGGCATTTCACAGCAACATTCACTCCCCTTTTTTTTTTTTTTTGTACATTCACATCTCATAAAGAAGCTCAGGAAAGAGAACTTTTAGAAGTGCTTCAAAACACAGCAGCAATGATGTTACAAGTGTACTCGAAGCAAGGAGAAGGATTTTGTGGGGGTTCATGACTATGTGTCTATGTGGCAAATTTTAAACATTTGCCACAAGGGTTAATTCTGCTTCACACTTTGTTGAAAGTTCAAATCAGGGAATACATATGGATATGGGTATTATCTACTGAATATTAGTAGGGAGATTCCTCAAAAATTTGTATTACGCCGTTAGGGTAAGCCTATTCCAAATTCTCCCTTATAGCTTTTGCTTTTAAAAATATACGGGACATTATCAACAGCGGGGAGTACCCCACAGCTTCCTTCTCCGATCTAACTGGAGCCAACTCGTACCTGCACAGCCACCGCCTACTTTCTACCTCCAGATGGTCAGCTCTCTGAGATTCCACCTCACTCCAGAAAGAACGGCTGCCATCAAGAAATCACCCAACTTGCACCTTTTCTTCCTTTTTCACATTATCTATTATACCTTTTGATCCTGATTTACACTTTCCGTTTCTCACTCCAGAGAAACTATTCGGTATTTACACCTGTGTGTCCTGTTTTATTTCATCTTACAGGGGAAAAACAAGAACCAGGATAAGTCATGTAAAGGTACAAGATACCAAAGATGAATGTAACTATATGGTATGCCTAAAATGTACCAATAAAGTTAATTTATAAAAAAGCAATCAATCAGTAAGAAATTCTGGCAGGGTTGTGGGGAGAAAAGAACGCTTCTCCACTGTTGTTGGGAGTATAGACTGGAGCAACCACTGTGTAAATCAGTATGGAGGTACTGCAAAAAACTAGGATTAGGAGTTTCATTTGTACCAGCTACTCCCCTGCTTGGTATCTTCTAAAAAGAATTAAAGGAATCATACCACAGTGATATATGCTCACCCATGTTTATAGCAGCACAGTTTTTAATAGCTAAAACTTGGAAACAGCCCAACTGTCCATCAACTGGACACTAGATAAAGTATGTGTGGGTTTTTTTTTTTTTTAATGGAGTAGTAGCCAGTCACAAACAATGATAAACTAGAGACATTTATAGCTAAATGGATTTCACTCTTGAGTGAAATGAACAGGACATGTGTAAATATCAAATAGTTTCTCTGGTGTGAGAAACTGAAAGTATAACTGAAGATCAAAATGTATAATATATAGTGTTAATTATTATTATTTTTTTTTACATCCCCTATCCCTCCCATGCCTCCTTCCTCCCTTCCACCTCTTGGTTCCCTCCCCATTTGAGAAAGATCCCTCGCCCGACCTCCTAGTACCTCACCTACATTTAATTTTGTGTTTAACTGTGGGAGAAGTCCAAGCCTGGCTGGGCCAGGTGCGCCGCACTACTGTCTCCACAGCTAACTTGGCGACCTTGCTAAGGCGGAGCTAACTCACCTGTGGGTAGTGCCAACAGGCTACACCTCCGGCCCTAGTCCGCGACTTCTTTGCCTCACCCAAGAAAAATCACTCTGCCGTGTCTGGCCAATAAGATATCGCCAAATGTTAAATGTTCCTCACATGCCCCTCCCCCATGGTTCCCCATATAAGCCTCTGCATTTGCTGAATAAAACGGAAGTGTTCCAGAAACCTCCCTGGAGTCTGCCTCGTGATTACGTGGCTTGCCCTCGCCATCCATGTTTTCGAATCTTGTTCCCTGAGCAGGCTCGCGGAGGACAACGTTTAATGTTTAATTTGGGCCTCTGGCATAAGAGAATCTATGTGCTACGTAAGCCTGTGGGTCCGATTCATTTCCCTTGGCGTTATGGTTTCGAGGTGCATCCATTTGCCTACGAAAGCCTTGCTGGTGGGAAATAAGGGTGGTGATTCCTCAAAAGCCTAACATTAGAAATCCCATTTGACCAGGCTATTTCCTTTCTAGGTACCTTCCCCCAAAGCAGTGAGACATCGTATCACAGGGATCCGTGCTTATCAACGTTTATAACGGCACAATGGACAATAGCTGAAGCTTGAAAATGGTCTGTCGGCTCATGATCAGGGCTCGTGCACATTTTTTCCGTCCATATCTCACTCCGTATCGCTCCCCATGCTCTCCCGAGCCGGTAGGCAAGTAGCTTGTGAGAACAGCAAACCTTTCTCGCACCCCTGGAGGTCGTGGGTGACATCACTGATGTCCTCAGGGAAACCACACCGGGATTAGGTTCATTCAATCACTGTATCGTGCCCAGGGCAACTGAGATTCCCCAAGGACACCAGGCGTCCTTTGTAGTGGAAATAATTGAATACAAGATGCTAATGCATCCTATGCAGCAGATAGATCACATCTGGTCAGGACAATCTCCGTGCCTCAGTTTCTGGAAAAGGGGAGGAAGAATCACAGAATGCCCCACCCCTCAGACACATATAGAGGCGGCAGAGATGATTTCTGATGCAGAAAGGACACCCAAGTCGCCTGCTGCAAGCTCACACGTGCTAGTGGATCACAAATGCCACAGGGTCGACTAGGTTGAATAGTTCTCAGCTTTTAACTCCAGTGTTGAACCATTCTCAGCAGCCAAATCACACACAGTAGCGCGGGGGCTCAGGACCCAAGAACAGGACACTCAGGCCCATGTCGGTAGTTTCTCTCCCGTGACACATCTTCGGCATACAGACATTTACCTTGCTCTTATCTGGTCCAGGAAAGCAAACCACCTGTGCATCTGAGCTCACCTGGCTGCCGGGTTATCCGGCTGCGATACTAATTTAAGCCTTATTTCTTTGAAAATGCTAATTAGTTCCAGGAGTGGAAATAGAAGCCATAAGCTGTAACCCTCCTCAGGCTTTGAAAGAAAAAAAAAAAATAAAACGATGCTTTTGGTCACATAACAACTTCTGTGTGCAACGACACAGATCGAGGCCCCAAGGTTTCTCATTCACATCCTGCAGATAATTCAGAGGGAAAGGGCAAGTAACCGAATACCTGTATTTCAAAAGGCACTCGCCTTTCATCGACTTAGAGGAATCTCAGCACAAAGCAAAAATGCTCCGGGAAAAGGGCTTTGCAAAAAACCTGGCTCTATAATAACTTCTGTGCAGATCAAAGCCCACCCAGAAGAATTTGTCCCCGCCTTGTTTACGATCGCCATCACCTTGGAGACAATCGACATGCCA